AAAAAGTATTGCATAAATTCCTTTAAATTTGTATACGCATTAAAAGTATATGAATATACAACTCCTTTTTATTTTTATAATATCTCCGTAAAAATTACAATATTATATTATTGAATACCACTTTCATACTCAATTTAATTACTGTAATTATTATGTATTCATATATTATAATTAAAAATGGGGTTAAAATTAAAGGAATAAGTGTTATTGTTGTTTTTGAAATAATCTACCAATTTAATTTTTTTTTATTTAATAATATATATTTCAAACTTGCAAGTAGAGTTAAAAGTTATGGTAATAAATTCATTTTTTTTTATTAAAACTTTCACTTTAAAGGACAAAAAGTAGGTTCAAAATGATTACTTTTAACATATTAAAAATCGATAATAATTTGAAAATAATTAATTATAAAAATTATATAATATATAATTAAAAGAATTACTAATCTTGATATAATTAAGGAAATAGGAGTTGATGTTGGGTTGGGTTAGTTACATTTTTAACTTTATAATGCTATAACTCATTAAAAAGTGTATGAATCAACACAATTTTTTTATGAGAAATAATATTTTTTAATAAATATTTAATAAATAATCTTAATCAGGGTATTAATAAGGAACTAGCAGATCATGCAGCTTTTGTAATTATCCACCAATTTCTTAGAATTAAACACTATCTACTGATTTGCATCGAAGCGTTTCTTATGATAGTGATTTTAATCACTGTCAGATTAAATCTATACTGGACCCAACTATGCAACGTCCCCACTATGCCGCGACTCCACTGTGCTGGTTTTTTTTTTTTATTATAAACATTTACAATAATCAACTTTAAACGATTAAAAAAATAGGTTAAATATGACATTTTCCTTATTTTTAACGTATTAAAAATCAAAATCAGTATTAATTTAATACAATTTTTTTTGTTCTTAATTATTTTTTTTTATATGTAAATACTATTTTTTAATAATATTAAAACTTAAAAGTGATAGAAATAGTCTAATTGCACATTTGAAAACATCGCAAAATGTTGATTTAGAATATTATATTTTTGTTTTTGATGAAAGTTCCTTGTAGTACAGCGTATAAAAACTTATAACTTTGTTAAATGTTAAACTTTATCATAAAAGACCAAATCAGTATAATTTTTTTTTTATATAGATGCATGTCTTTATCTATCATTTGGTTTTAATTTTTTTATAAATCTAACCCTTTATCTGCCCACAAGAGGGATTCAAAATAATAGCTTTTTTTTTTTTAGTTAAAGTAAATTATTAAAATTAATTCAGTTCTGAATATTTCAATAGTAAAATCTTTTTAAATACCAAAAATTACTTAGAAATGATTACTATGATTTTTATTTGCCCCGACGACCTATCTTCTATGCGCAAATGGCTACCGTATTCAAAAATATGCTATTTTTGTATTTTATTTTATTTTAAAATATCTTATTAGGGGAATACACTGACTTTTATGAATATTATATAATTTAATTGACATAGAATAAAGTTCATAAGACATATGATATTATACTTATTAACATTTTTTACTTTTTTAAAGTCGAANCAAAATTAAACTTATAAATTTTTTTTTACTTTTTTAAAGTCGAATAAGTAATTTTTAAATTTGAGTTAACTTAAATAGCCAATTTTATCTTGCGACAAGAGCAACTAACAGTTGCCGAATGGGTAACACCTGTGTCTTTCCCGCTTAGGGTACGAGGTTCAAATTCGTCTGTGGCAATTAATATTTGCATTTTTTTTCAAGTTAAAATAGAATTTTCAAATCATTTGATATTTATCTCATTTAGATTCAATAATTTCAATAAATATAAAGAATCTTATCACTATAGTCTCCCCTCGTGAGAAGAAATTGATATTCATGTTAATATTATTTTACTATGTGGTTCTTTTTGTGGCTACGATTTATTTTGAGTAATTAAGTAAATCATTTTAACAACTTTTTTTTTTTTTAGATATATAATCATTAAAATTAATGAAGTTCTGAATATTTCCATTGTACAATCTTTTTAAACACCAAAAGTTATTAGGAAATGATTACTGTAATTTTAATTTAAGTGATCTATTACGATAAAAATGCAAAAATATAATGAGTTTTTCTGATAAATATACTGTAAATAGTAATTATAAAATTTCCTGACTGAATATTAATCTTAAAAATTACATTGTTTTAATTCTAATAAAATTTTCTATTTAATGATTTATTCTAGTCAACGAAGGAGTAATTTTGGCGAATAACAAAAAAAATTCCTAACCAAATTTTTTTTTTTTAAATTAGGAAATTGGTGGATTATTCCAAAAGCAACATCAACTCTTATTTCTTTAATTATATCATGATTAGTAGTTCTTTGATTTTAAAATATAATATATGAATATATACTAATTATAATTATTAAATTTAGTATGAAATTGATATTTAATATTGTAATTTAAACGGAGAAATTATAAAAATAATAAAGAAGTTATATTTTGCTTTACTTTTACGTGTATAAAAATTTAAAGGGCTTGATACAATAATTTTCAATAAAAACTGTTTGTTACTATAAAAAAATGCAC